AAACAAAACAAAGTAAAGAAAGTGATCTAAGCAAGTAACTAAGAGCCCATGGAAAACCATGGATGAAAAGGGTGCTAGCACCTTCCCTTTTCATAATCTACCCCCCGAACTCAAGAAAACATCTCAAAGGTATTTCCTGTGCTTTTTTACCTTTCCTTTTAGATAAAAGAAAAGTCGGTGGCGACTCTTGCTAACCGCGACATTTGCGAACACAAACGCAAAACCTCAAGTCAGTTCTCCCACCGTATCACATCAGCCATCTATAGATAAGTTGTAGAGCAATCCCCGAAATAGGACAGGCGACTATCTATATGACCAGATGATTTCCTTCAGAGATTCATTCTGAAAAGCATTCCCCTTATAAACTAAATCTGACAAGCATTTCCTTCAGAGATTCATTATCAAAAGCATTCCCCTCATAGACTAAATCTGACGAGCACTTCCTTCAAAGATTTATTCTGAAAAGAACTTCGTTCAGAGATTCATTATGAAAAGCATTTCCCTCAGATAGGATCAGATAGATTCATTCTGAAAAGCATTCTTTAGATACAGTGAGACATAGACTTATTCTAATACGAATCTCAGATACAGTCGGGCAAAGACTCATTCTGAACCTCTTATAGATACAGTCAAGATATAGACTCATTTTAGAACATCACTCAGATACAATCGTGACATAAGATTTATTCTGACACTCCCTAACACATCTGCTAGATACAATCGAACACTGACTCATTCTAGTATACTTCTCAGATATCGTCAAACATAGACTCATTCTGATACTCCTATCAACAATTACTCTAGATGGCATCTATAAGCTCATCCACAACGACACTCTATCACCTCTCTGAATGTCATCTTTAAGCTCATTCAAGCAATACAATCAACCAACATTGTTACTTCGTGCACATGTGAGTGTAAATTTCTAGGCACTTAAGTATCCAATCCTCTTCCACATTCAGATCACAAATGACGAACATGACAATCTAACTCTTCAGGTTTAAGAAGATTGAACAAGGGAAGTTGTTGTATCCCAAAATTTTCCCTCTCGTTATTTAAGACAAATTATTTCAATAGGTCCCCACATGCTCCTATGGTTCTCAATTTCTCAAGACTACTCAAGGATTGATCAGACAAACTCTTCTTCTAAGTAGTTAACCTACAACTAGGGTTTTACTTCTCTAAAGAAAAATTGGACTTCTAATACCTCAAGTGAGTTTCATGGTTTCTCATATGTCTAAAAGAACCCTCATGCCAAATTTCAAGCCTTACAACACAAGTTTACTCAGTCAATTAGTCAGATGATTGAAAATCAACTGTGTTTGGCAAAAAGTCAACTTTGACCAATTTATAGTCAAACTTCAATATTATTGGTCAACATTAACATTTTGAAGTCACATTTATCATTTGATCAAGGTTTTATCATAATTCATCAAGAAAACTCAAGATTCATCAAAAGTCAAAAGTTACTAAGTTAGAGTTTTCTTAAGGAGAAGTCAATTGAACTTTGACCAAGCATAAATTTCATACACTTCACCAGAAATTTCTCAACCAAAGCTTATTTTGAAAGAAATTCAATTCTCTACAACTTTATCTCTCTAAACACAAGGCTAAAAATGCTTCATTTGAGAGATATGGGCCAAAATATTATAGGTCATTTTAAAAGTAAACAAAAAGACACTTTTTGTCAAAGTAATTTACATCAAGTTAAACTCTTCAAATGAAAAAATGACCAACATGAAGATTGTAGGGGATATCTTGAGATTTCCAAAGAGTTCAAGATCACCTTCATATGATAAAAATTGAGTGAGATATGATTTGTGCAAGTTGGGTAATTTTGAGAAAATGCATAAAGTTCAATTTGAGCAAACTTGAATTTTTGGACTAATGGACCTATCTTTTAAGGTCTAAACATGTTCATGACACCTTAGAGGACCTCTAAGTCCATTCATGAATCATTTTAATTTTTATTTCATTCATTTTGATTTTTATCCATTTAAATTCAAAATTAAATCAAATAAGTACTACACAAATGTATAAGGCGTAAAAGGCTTGTGATCTGAATTTTTTGGAGGCCCGAGGTCATGCTACAAACCGTGTAGACTTATTTGTGAATCAAATCTTCACGGTTTTGTAATATTTCAACCTATTTTCAAATAAAATTAAAGATATGTTTCACGTGATGTCCAAGCCCAGCTCTTAATCTAATATTTTCTCCTATAAATACACTACATCTTCAGACCAAAAAAACACGAAAACTGCTCAAGAAACAAGGGTTTTGAGATTGAAATTTGCAAGGAAAAGGTTGAACTCGAAATCCAACTTTCAACCATCCTCAAGGCTAGGTGACCATTTAAATTGATCTCTGAGGTATCATAGAGTAAGTTTCAATCATTCTTGATGATCAAAGGTGCCTGAAACCTGCATTCCATACATCGTCGGTTTTACATATATTGTGAAATTCATATTTTGATATTTATGAGGCTTTGATTTAAACTAACAATTTCAATGTGTTCCTGAGACAAAATAGCGCAGGTTTTATCCCTTGCATGAGGTCCATGATGCCATAATACTCCATCACCAGTATTGCATCATTTTGCTTAGTTTTGATCGTATCTCACTGTGCAGGGCAAATTAGCCACAAAGAATGCCACTATTGGATTCACAAGGGTCGAATTAGGGGGATAGGATTCTTCTTGATCTCTAACGAATGCTATTTTTACACGTTGAAGAGTGACCTCGTTGGAGAAGACGACCGGAGCTAGGGCTCTGGCGCTTCTCCGATTCACTTATTTATAATATATTTATTAGTTTATCTTGTATAACAGAATTGAAGCGCAACGCAGTTGGTTGAGACAGAGGCATGTAACATGAAGGGCGTGAGTTCGATCCCTGCATCTTGCAATACTTTTTTGTTATTTTTCAAACTAACGCGCATGTTTCATATATATTATTCAGTTCCTATTTTCAAACACCAACAGGCGCTTGACCTAGTGGCGAGCAATGCAGTTTGTGAAGCCAAGGGCATGGGTTCAACACCCATCCCTTGCAAATCATTTTTACCCTACTTTCTTTTTAACCTAATTTCTTTTCTTTTTCTTTTCTAACCCTAATTAATTAATTAATCAATTTTTTCTCTTAAATATTAAAATCAATTAAAATTTAGGTTTTATTAATTATTATCACTTACATTATTTTCCATAAAATACCAAAATATTAATACTTAGAATTTTAGGTCTTTTAAACCTTTTTTAAAGCATTTTATTATTTCTTTTTTTTATTTAAATACGTAGATCAAATGTATAGAACGCACTCTCTATTATAATAGTGTTGATTTATTTTCCGCATCTTTTTTTCCTTACTATGTATCTGCTCACAGGATGTAATAGCGTAGGACATTTATATTCTCGCACTTATATTTTGATGTTATGGTTAGTAACTAGGGTTTGTATGGCAAGACTAATAATTGAACCTAGAAAACCTTAATTTTCAAGATAAAGTAAACTGAAAATAAACACTTTTCACACTTGCACCTCTAGGATATCCTCTCTTGTTGCCTTACAAAATATTGGTCACGTCCCTCGAAAGTTGGAATACTTTAGCAAAAGACCCTCGATCAAATCATCATGTCCCTTTAGAATAAAGATCATAATTCATCGATGACCCTTTGAGCTACCTGTAAAATGATCTAGTCCCTTTGATTTGCCTATAAAATGATGATAGTCCCTTCGATACAATTGCTAAAGTATCTTTACTTATTGTCTTCGATAACCATACGATGATCCTACGTCTGTCTTTTCAATAGATATGGCTACCTACCAACTAATGGTATGGATAGTATTATCTCTAAAGGAGAAGGAAAAGAATAAGAAAGAATTTAATGGGTAAGAAACTCGTAATTGCTTGCTCACAACTTTTCTCAAAATTATTTTTCCACACTACACTTTCAAACAAATATTTTAAAAAATAACACTTTGTATACATTCTTGAGGACTTATACAAGAATCATTACAAATTCAGTCTTACATTGGCGATTTCAAAATATTTTCAAACAAAGCACACGCACAAAGCAAGATTTTTAAAAGTGAGCTAAGCAATTAAGTGCCCGTAGATAACTACGGATGAAAAGGGTGATAACAACTTACCTTTTCATAACTTACCCCCCCCCCCCCCCCCCCCCCCGAACTCAAAATCTATCAAAGGTCTTTCCTGTTCTTTTTACCTTTCCTTAATATTGGATAAAAGAAAAGTCGATGGCGACTCTAGCTATCCGCACATTTGGATAAAACCAAAAAGTTTATTCTCCCGCCGTATTACAGACATCAAAGTCTAACTCATATTATAAGACTAATCATCTCAGGAGGAGGAATGATGAATTTAAACAACTCTTTTAATATAAGTATTTTTATGAATAAACCTCCACCTTTTGATGGTGAAAGGTGTGACACCCCAAAATGATTAGATTATTTATTTAATTATCTGATCAATTTAAGATGAATATTTGTGATGTTTATGTGATGTTTTTATGAATGTGATGCTTGATATGATGTTTTGTGTGGTGTATGATGGGGTAGTGAGAATTAAGATGATATTGAGTATTTTTAGAATAATTGAGATAATTAGAATAATTAGTTAGAATTATTTTAATTAGTTAAATAGAATAATAATAATAAGTAGAGGCTGTGAGGACAAGGTGGTAATATTGTGAAGCAAGTGATGATAAGATGAGAAGACCATAGAAAGGATCAAAGGGTTAAACAAGGAATAGAGGGAAAAGAGTCTCATTCTATGCAATCGTGAAAGTAAGAGGAATGTTGTGAAGAGACTAGGGCACGGGAGAACTCAGAGAAAATTTGGTAGAACGTGAAGAGGAATCAATTGCTAGGAAGAATATAAGGTAAGGGGAGTTTATCATTGTTATTATAAGTGATCTAAGGTTTAGATAATTGTAGGTTTGTGTTATAGTTTTGTTTGATGTTGTTAATATGATGCTTTGATTAAAATTGATGAAATTGTAAGTTTGTTTTGCAATGATTTGATGCCATTGATGTGTAATAAGATGTGTTGTTGTTATATGATGAAACTAAGTGAATCTATGATGAATTGAAACCTGTCATGTGAAGAAAATCGTGTAAAATTAGATTGGTGCAATACATACATCGCAATAGGGAAGTTCTGATCGCACAGGCTCATCGGGCGAGCGTGTTGTATCGCCGAGCGAAGGGGTGAAAATAGAGCCCCTGAAAAAATTATATGGAGAATGGTGACTCGTACAAGCTTCGCTAAGCGAAGCAGAGGCGAGAGGTGTCTCGCTGGGCGAGCGAAGTGTTTCGTCGGGCGTAGGAGCCAAGAGAAAAATAACGCTCCTGGAATTTTGTATGAGGAGGAAGACGTCGCTCCCACCTTGTCGGGCGAGCCTCAGGCAAAGTACAACATGAGAATTTTAAAAGTGTCATAACTTGAGTTTCAGGACTCCGTTTGACGCGTCATTCGAAGTGTTAGGAAGCTAACATGATAAATTATACTTTAGGGGAATAAAATGAGTCATACGATGTTTTTCTAGTGTCTTATCTTTGATGAATAAGATGTTTTGGTGATTGTTTTATTATGATGCATGTACATATGATGAATTGTTGTGGCAAAGATGATGATGTATTTTAATAAGAAGTATGTGATGAATTTATGATTAATTATATGAATGATGATGTGTTTTGACTAGCAGTGATCATGTTATTATTTAGATGTTTCGCATCATGTATTCATGACATATGTTAGGACTTAGGTCCAATGATGTCGTTAGGACGAATGGTCCAGTGATAGTGATAGTAGTTCAGTGATGGCTTCAATCCCATAGTGTGGATTGAGTGCAATTCTATGACGTGCTCTGGTTCCAAGCGGGAATCGATCCTATTGGTGGAGATCTTTGGAGAAACAATGATTGTATCATCAATGAAGTTATGTTTTGGTACCACATGCATGAGTCTAATAAAGTGCATTGCATTATATGTGACATGGTATGAAGATTGGTTATATGATAATGATTGTGTTGCGATTTTAGCGGTGTTTGATGATATGTGTTGATGTGATGATATGATGATGTGTTTGATGTGTACTGATGATATTTGCAAAGGTGTGAATATAACATGAGGTTTTAATGATGCGTGGTTTCGTGTTGTCGTGTTATAACTACTATATTTATTTCTTATGTCTTTTATAATGATTATGATTTACTCACCTTTTCTGCTTGGAAATATTGTCTCCATACGTGGGTAACTTGCAGGTGATCAGAAATAGTCCATCAAAGCTTAGAGGATAGCTTATGGAGTCATTTAGTTGCTTTATTTTAAATAAAAAGGGTCTTGATCTGATATGTAACATCGAGTCTTTGGGATCGTTTGAACCAAACCATGTGTTATTTGCTGACTTGATGCGTTTGAGATGTTTATTCCGCTTTACGATGTTTTAGTATAACTTATGAAATATGAAGTGTGAAGGCCTTTTCAGTTGAGATATGTAATAAAGATGTTTTGAGACAATAATTCTAATGCGACGTGTTGAAGTTTTGCCATGATGATTTCAAAGAGATAAATGTTTTAGTTTAAGAGTCCGTGTTACGAAGCGGGATGTGTTTTACAAAGATGTTTGTATGAAGTATGTAATATCCTTTTAGTACATTATTCTGATTTAATTATTGAATTATTTATGAATATTCCTTATCAAACATCCAAGCGAACCTGATAGTATGTCTTTGAAATATGTATAACAACAATTAAAAAAAAACCACTGATAATTATGGTTTTGTTGAGTGGATTTTATCTTAATCTCCTACTCCTTTATGTTTATCAATTTTTTATAGAAATATATTAGTCTTTATAAAAAAAATCATTATAGATTTTTTTCAATAGAATTAATTGCTATATATTGTTAATGTAAACTTTTTTACATAATCAATACATCATAACCATTTATTAATGTTATTTAATAAATAATTAAAATAAAAATATAATTTATAATTTATAATTTAACGGTCATGATTTATTGATAATATAATTTTTTTTTTATATTATCAATGTATTCTAATTAAAAAAATTTTAATATAGATTTATTACTATTTTTTTATTAAATAAAGGGTTTGGCATTTTTTACCTCTACTATTTCTCTTAAAGGCAGAGTTAAAAAAAACATTATTACCAACCGGGTCAATGAACATGCAGAATGAATAAAATAATTCACCAAAAAAATACTAATCCAATTACTACTTCCACTTCAAATAAAAGCCAATTACTACTTCCACTTCAAATAAAAGCCAATTACTACTTCCACCTCCGAAAAAAGCCAACCCACTATACTTAAAAGTGCGTTTGTTTTAAGTTAAAGAAATGTCTTGGAATTTTATTTTCAGAATTATTATTTTTAGGAATAATATTTTAATGAAAGTGTTTGGGAAAAATTATATATATTAAGAATTTTTATAAATTTTATTTAATTTAAAATATATAAAAATTAAAAATAAAAATAAATATGAATATTAGTGAGAAATTATGGTTAATTGATCATTATTCTTATAGAAATATTAAATTCCACTTTAAAGTATGAAAATAAATTTGAAAATTTTCATATATAATAATATTTTTGAAAATAAAAAATATCTAAAAATAATTTTTTTAAACTTAAAACAAATATAAGATTGTTTCATTTCTAATATCACATTTCAAAATATATATTAGTGAGAAGTCATGGTTAATTGATATTATTCTTATAGAAATGTTAAATTCCATTTTTAAAATATAAAAATAATTTAAAAAATTTCATATATAATAAAAAATTTAAAAATAAAAAATATTCAAAAATAATTTTTTTAAACTTAAAACAAACATAAGATTGTTTCGTTTCTAATATCACATTTCAAAAAATATATTTTCAGTCCTCGAAACAAATACACCGTGACAAAAAAAACAAATCCAAAAAGTTACACCTAATTTAATTATTTTTAGAATCAAAGAGAACAACCACAATAACACTATTATTAATACCTACCTATAAAGTAAAAAACGCATTACTATTTTTAATTTTATATATCCTATCATATCAGTGACATAAACACGTCACACATACCTGTGGGACAAGAAAAGGTGGCAAGAAAAGTAAAACAACAACAAACAACAACATCAACAACTTGAGTTGAAAGAGAAAAAAAAATATAAAAAAAGAAAACCCACTTGTACAAATTTAATTCAAAAAAATAAACAAGAAATGTTTGATACGCTTTCTCTACTTGGCCTATATTCCTTTTCCATTATCAACCTCACAACACAACATCTCAACACACAGAATACACCTCAATTCTTCTCTCTCATAACATCTCAAACTCTCCTCTTCTCATAAATAAAAAAAAAAAATCCTTAATTATCAATTTTTATTAGAAAAATAGTTATCTTTATTATTATTATCATGGCTCAAAGAACAGAAAATGAAGAAACTGAATTCAAAGTACCTGAAACGATATCTCTTTGCATCAACAACTGCGGCGTAATCGGTAATCCGTCAACGAACAATATGTGTCAAAATTGCTTCACCGCCTCAACCGCTACCACTTCTTCCACCGTCGGGATCGGAATAACCGGAACCGGAATCGCACCTCAATCTTCCAGATCTGTTCGATCTCCGAAGAGATCTTTACCGGAGGAATCATCATCGGTTATTACAGATCGGAGTTCGTCAGATCAACCGATTGTTTCCGAGGCGAAGCGTGTGGTTAGCCGATGCTCCGGTTGCCGGAGGAAGGTAGGGTTGACCGGATTCCGATGTAGATGCGGTGATCTCTTCTGCTCCGAACATCGTTACTCCGATCGGCATGATTGTAGCTATGATTATAAAGGTGCTGGAAGAGAAGCTATTGCGAGGGAGAATCCTGTTATCAGAGCAGCGAAAATCGTTAAGGTTTGAAAATCTGAAAATCTGAAAATCTGAAGAAGAAGAAGAAGATGAAGAAATGATTCAAAACGTGAAATTCTGGAATGAAAAACGAATCTATTTGACCCGGTTCTGATCGACCGGGTTCGGGTCCACGTGTTTATTTTATTTACTTTTCCAGATTTTATTTTTATAAATAGAAGAAAAAAAATCGTTAACTTAAGATAGTTATTATGAGAGGTTGTGTGTAACGTTACCAAAAATGAAGAATCTGAATTTCTATGTGTTTGATCATGCTTTGATCTTTTCATTTTTTTTTCCTTCTTTTTAATTTTTGTTTCTTTTTTAACTTTTTTATTTGAAGTTTGAAATGGATAATTATTGTTGTTGTTTGTGATTATGCTTGTGCTAATTATGTATCGGATTGTTTTTGTTAAACATGGTAGGAATTTATCTGTATTAGCAATCTTTTAAAATATTAAAACTAATTAAATTTTTATTAAAGTTCGTTTCTCCCTTATGTGATGATAAATTATACATGTAAAAAATGTTGTGGAGAAAGAAAACATTGTTGACCTAGTGTAATCCATCACCATGGATTCTCCCCAAGCTTATATCATTTTCTCATAAACCTCTTCTCACCAACTTACCACTACAAACTCACATATGAGCAAATTTTGTAAGACATTTGCAAAAGCCCTAGGAAATGTATGTGACATTTCAACAAGTCAATTGTCGATTCTTTGTATTAAAGGAGAAATACTTACAATTTCAATTTCAGAAGATGAATATCTCATTGGACTCGACTCTTATAAACACAATTTGCACGGAAAATTTTTTTGGCCGAAAGTTTCTACTACGTTAACGGTGGTACAACTCAGAGCAAAGGTATCGACCCCATGGAACTCTATCGATAAATGGGACATCACCTCTCTTGATAAGAGTTTTTCAAGTTCGCAATCTCTAATTTAGAAAATGTTAGGTGTGTTAGATCATTGTCATCCTGGAACTTGAATCAATGCGTCTTGAAACTGTTCTCATGGACAAGGGATTTTATCCCTAACAATGTTAACCATACTTTTGCCCAAGTCTGGGTGCGAATTCATAGACTCTCTCAAGAGTATTTATGCCCTAAAATTATCTTTGATGTAGCTATTAGCCTCGGAACGCCAATATATATTGATTTGACCTCCAATAAGCCTCCCATTGAAAGAACCTTGGGCATTATGTGAGGATTCTGGTAGATATTGAACTTATGAACGAACTAAGAGACAAAATAATGGTAAAAAAAAGTTGGCTATGCTTTCTTTGTTGGAATAGAATATGAGAAAATTTTAGAGTTATGTTTATTCTACAAAGCTTTAGGTCATTTGGATATTAATTGTAGAAGAAAAGTAGTTAGGGAGGATAGAGACATTGGTAGAAATACTGAGCATGTGAATTCCAAAGCTTCCTTTAGGAAAAAAGATCAACCTGTGGTGGTAGAAAACCATGACAAAGGAAAACAAAAGCAGCCTATAGTAGGAGATTTTAGTGGTGTAGACCAAGACAATACATATAAGGCCAATACTTTTGCAATTATTCCAATAATTTCAAATGTGGTCTATACTGAGACTGAATCCCCACTGGTCAATGTCAGGGAAAGGAAAATGGAATGATGAATGAAGTAGAAAACCTAAGCTCTGAAGATTTTGAGTTTGTGGATGCCACACAACTCATCTAATCTAAAGACACAATTGAAGTTTCAAAGAACATGAACATTGAGTTTCTCAAGAACTCTTGGTCAAACATGGCAGATGAAAAAGATGAAAACTTAGATGAAGATCCCTTAGAAAATGACTCAGAGAGTTTCCAACAGGTAGTATCCAAGTCCAAATGAAACCAAAAAAATGAAATAAAATCAAATCTAAGGAAGCTTATAGCACCAAAAATAAAGCTCGTTCACATAACCCTTCATTATGACGTGCTTATTTTGAAATGTGAGGGGACTTGCCAATTCCCCAACTAAATAGGCTCTCAAAAACATCCTTAAGAATCATAAACATGATCTTTGTATTTTACCTGAGCCTTGGATGAATCATTTGAGATTCCATAATGCTTTTTAGGATAGGCCTGGTCTCAAAAAATTTGCAATAAATAATAGAAATAATTTGGAACCAAATATTTGGTGCATTTGTAAGAAAACCCTAGCCTTACAAGTCCAAATTATCTTTGAGCAGTTTGTTGTCTTCTCCATAATAGTAGAGAACATCATGGTTAAATTTGTTGCAGTATATGCCTCCACCTGTTATATCAAAAGGCGGGGTATTTGGAGTGATTTATCTAGTTCCTTAACCAAATATAGTGTCCTCTGTTGCTTAGTTAGAGATTACAACTTTATCCTTGGGGTGCAAGAACGCATAGGAGTTGCATCCGTATGAGCACTCCTATGGAAGATTTCAATGCATGAAAAGATAATAATTGATTGGTTGATTGATCTCACGGTTAAAGGTCTTAGTTTCACTTGGTATAATGGAATGTATGGTAGAGCTTCAGTTGAAAGAAAGCTGGACAAAGCCATTTACAACAATAATTAATTTGATGCTTGCCACACTATGATAACCACCACTTTGCCTAAGCTGAGATCTGACCATCATCCCATCTTGGTTGAATCTTCTTTTCCTCAAATCACATTAGCCTCCCAGTTTAAATTCTAGGAAATGTGGATACTTCATAATAATTACATAGAACTTATTGCCACCTCTTTAAAAAACAGTGTTGTGGGATGCCCCATATATGTTTTGAGAAAAAAAACTCCAAAATCTCAAGAATAGTCTAAAGCATTGGAATAAGACATTTTTGGTAGTATACATGACAAGGTGAATGTTTATTTCGTCAAGTTGGATAGAATCCAAGAGAAAATTAGTCTTAATGGCCCTTCTGATTCTCTTAGGTCTCAGGAGAAATGTGTCATCATAGTGCTGGAAAAAATTCAGAGTATGCAAGAGGTTTTTTAAGCAGAGAAGGCTAAAATGCAATGGCATGTTTCTAGTGACAAGAACATTTATTTTTTCCACATGATGGCAAAAATAAATAGGTCCAAGAGTTAAATCACAACCCTCAATGATGGAGACTCCCTCATTACTGACCAAGGAGAAATGGCAACAATGGTAATCAATTATTTCACTAATCTCTTTTGTTTTATGGGTACTTATTGAGATACCTCAATAGTGGATGGTACCATTCTTTGCTTGGTGGATTCTTACATGAATAACATCCTTACCATGACTCCCTCAACTGAGGAGATCTCTGGTGCAGTACAAAGCCTTAACAAGTTTAGTTTTCCAGGTCAAGATGGGTTTGGTGGTGTGTTCTACCCCAAGTACTGGGACATCATTAATGGGGAGGTTCGTAATGCAACCTCTTGATTTTTCAACATTATCTTACCTAACTTCAATGCTTGTATATGGTTTTGATCCCTAAAGCTAAAGATGCCCAATCATTATATAAGTTTAGACCAATTACTCTTTCCAACTTTAAATACAATATTATTGTAAAAATTATGGCAGATATGTTGGCCTCTTCAATGCCTTTTTTATAAGAACAAGATTTGGTTCTGCAGTTGACCTTAAGTTTTGATGATAATATTGCATTATATCTTTAGAGAACAATTTAGTACTCTAACGATTTATGTCTAGTTTGTAGCTTTTGCTAACATGTTCTGACTTTAAAGATAAGGTGTGTGATGTCATCAGGTTCTGAACTCAATACACTCTGACTCTGAAAGAAACCAATTGTGTTTACAAGTCCCAACCAAGTTCTAGAATGCTTTTATAACAATAGTTTTAATGAACGTTAGTGATAGAGCTTCTGATTGTGAATATTTTGGAATAGATTTAGAAGAATTTTCAAGCTTTGATTCTGCTTGTCCAAGTTCTGAAGATTATAAAGACAAGGTTATGGAAGAACAAGTTCTGAAGATTCTGAAGACCAAGTGATGGAGACTCTGAAGTTAGGGTTCTGGGTGAACAAGTTTTGAAGACTCTGAAGATTCTAGTTTTGATCCTTCTAAGCATGTTTCATCATCAACCATCAGAAGCCTCTAAATATTAGAATATAAGATCAAAATTGGTTTACGTGAGAGAATAGTATAAGGTATAAATGTTCCCACTACCCTGATATGGTGGCGTAAGGATTGTGCTATGGTACTATGTTGTCTACCACTCCCTCACTGATCGTTGTGGACAAAAAAGTTGGATTTAAGTATTCTTATTCTACCCTCAAACGGATTTCTTTCCAGTTATAAAAGGAAGACTTGGTAGAATTGGAAAACAAAATTCCGCTCAACAAAACTTACGTTGAAACACTGCTTAACTCTATTTCAAATATTCTTTTGTAAAGTTTTGTAAACGCAATGAACTTTTGTTCGTTAACTTGCAAGCAAGGAGATTTTGTTAATCAACTTGATATTAACATTGTTGTGTTATTTTATTGTACTTACATTTGTGTAATCTCCTTTCAAGAAGAAAATCTGTAATACACTTTTTGTATTTCAACTTTAAAGTTGATAGTTCCTTAAGAGACAAGGGCTTTAATCAGGATTCTCAAGAAGACATTGATGGTGAGTCTTTGTGGTTTGTAACATTGACAATTGGTATTTGTTAGGTCTATAATCAGTCTAGTTAAAGTGGATTAAGTCCTTGTTTAAGAAAGAAAAAATCACCTTGGCGGGTGGGCTGTATTAACTTTGTTAGCAGTGAACCAGGATAAAAATATTTGTGTCATTTATTTTTATTCTCGTGTTCTTTGTTTTGTCTTGGGAAGAATTTGATTTTAAATCAAGAAACCCAGTTCAACCCCCCCCCCCCCCCCCCCCCCCCCATTTCCTTGTGTTTCTCACACCTTCAATTAGTATCAGAGCTCCGATTCTGATAATGATTGTCTATCAAACACTTAACAGTGTCAGATAAAGATCCACAATTTTTTATGAAAACACAAATGACTATTCCACCACCAGTTGCACCCGTTATCAATGAAATAGATAACTATAATTCTAAACCTATAATATTTGATAGAGAAACATTTGATTATTGGAAGATTGACTTGACAGTTTCTTTCTTGGACACGACGTTGAGCTATGGGATATGGTAGTAGATGGCTACGAATATCCTATGGATGCAAGCGGAAACAATATTGGGAGAAGAACAATGACTGAGAAACAAAATAAAGATTATAAGAATCATCATAAAGCAAGAATCGTTTTGTTGAATGCAATTTCTTACACTGAGTATGAAAAGATAACAAATAGAGACTCTTCTTAGTTTATATTTGATTGTTTGAAAATAATTCATGAAGGTAACACTCAAGTTAAGGAGAACAAGGTGTTTGCCTTGATTAAAAAATACGAAGCGTTCAAGATGA